ATTGTCTGAAGTGAAATTAGCATTGACCAAATTAAACAAGAACAAATCAGGAGCGAAGAAGCCATTAGCAAACAAAATTAGTTAGTAGGACAATATATTTTTTTGATTCATTATCTTTGTCAGGTGTGACCGTTTTTCTATTTTGAAAATATTATATGAGCCTTTTGTTTTGCATTGAATATAAAATACTTAGAGTACTGAAGAAGTATTTTCAATGTATTTCTCCTCTTCATGTAAATATTGAGGGCTGCAAATTCTGAATGTTCTTAAAAAAAAATTCCGATGATTATAGAGGATTTTATTTTGTTATGATGCGAATACAGATTTATTAGATATTTTCATTGGTTGATTTCCGGTGGACACCAAGTTTTAAATTGTTGTCAACGCGGTGTAGGAAAGTTAAGGAATTGTATTCGTCCGTTTTCGTATGTAAATTCTAATGTATGTTCGACTCTTAGTTTATCTACTAAGTCAGGTAAATCAGTATCACGAGGATATATAAATAGTGCCTCATCAATATAAGTATGTTGAAGTGAAATCAGCATTGGCCAAATTAAACAGGAACAAATCAGACGGACCAGAAGGAATTATAATGCAGACGCTGGCAACCTTTAGTGATTACGACAACGATAAAAGTACAGACGTAATAAATAAAATATTAGACTCTAGTGATATACTAGTAGACTTAAGCTGATCTATTTTTGTAGCGTTACCTAAGAGGCCAAGTGCAAACAAATGCAAACCCCATTAGACACTCAGCCTAATGAGGCAGATAACAAAATACATCATCCGAATTCTGATGAATAAAGCCGGTTCCTGAATAAGACAAAAATAGGACAAGAATACCGGAACAATACGATATTTATGCTCGGAATGGTAACAGAAAGAACAAGACGAATGCAATCGGGAGTAATCCTACGTTTTATAGATAATGCAAAAGCGTTTGATGAAGTAAAGAGAACTCTTGGAACGGTTGGGTAAGTTTAATTTATTTGGAAAAGATGAGAGAATAATCCGGGATTTATACGGTGTGCAAATCGCCTGCATACAGATAGAAAAAGAATTCAGCAAATACATAAAAAAATAGAAATAGGTGTAGACAAAGATATGTCTTCTCACCGAATTTATTCGACCTTTAGAGTGAGGCGATCCTGAGAGAATTAGAAGTCCTACCAGAATTCATCAATATCTGCGTTCCTTTTTATTTGGTGTAAAGGGATTTTATATCTAGACTGTGTTTGTCAGACATTAGATTACTTAATATGCAGAATAAACGGAAAAGCTATGCAGAAAACCCGACACGCATGTACTTTTTGGAAAAAAGAAATCAAGACAGTAACTTTTCTAAACGAACAATCCTTACTTGTAAGAGAGCAATTATTGAAAAATCAGACAAACAGGAAACAAGGAACCAACGCGAAAATTATGGTTCCAAGAGAACTGATGAATGGAGGTGGTTGGTAAACAATAAAACGCGGGAAGTGGAGGCTTCAATCACAAGAAAAAAGCATTAGCAGAAAGGATGAGCAATAAAAAAATTAATATTACAAATACCACAAAAGAAAAATTATTTTGAATAAACACTGAATACATCGCAGAAGCAGGTTTTTTTTCAATTGAAAATGACAATAAAGAAAAGAAAAAATCGAAACGACAAATTTTAAAATGATAAACCAAGAATTAAAAGAGGAATTTCAAAGTCAGGGGTATTAGCAATGGCAAATAAGAACCTTTACACAATTAATACTTGATTATCATTTCAGTCAAAATATAAGGTTGGTGCAAAAATAATGACGTGATAATGTCGTTTTTTGATGTATTTTTTAACGTCAAAAAATGACATTATTACGTCATTATTTTTGCACCAACCTAATAACTACCGTAGATCCTAGTTGAGGAGGCACGGTGGAGTAATGGATAGCGGCTCGGATTGAGGAATCGGTAGAGCCGAGTTCGAATTCCACTCGAATCCATTACTTTCACTTACGTGCTAATTCCCTTGGGAAAGGTATGAATCCTCTTCTTCTCCCCCCAGCTATGGGTAAATAGTAGGACTGGCCGGGTTATATAAGCCTTGGATGGCAACTGGTCTACCGCAGAAAGAAATGGCAACCTAATGCTGGGAAAAATCTGCCTCGTCGATTATGTATTGAAAGATACATGATCGCCTAAGCGTTATCACGCATGACACATAATTGAGTCCCTAACTGCATATCATTATTTTCTAATGTTTGTCTCCGTTTATTCAAGTCATGATCTATTTGCAAAACAATGAAAAATAATGTCATATATATTTAATTAATTCATCGAGTCTGATAGAAACCTCAACAGAAAGCACTGGACGGCCGTTTCGTCTTATATTTGGGACTCATCAGAAGTGCGCATCCACTACCGAGAATTGAAACCCTGACAGTTAAGTTGTCAAGCGAACATCATACCAAGTGGGCCTCGGTGACGAAGAGATTGCAAACCAGACTCAACACACACACACACGCACACACACACATATATATTTTTTTTCCAATACATATTCATTTCGTTTTCTCTTCAGATAGAAGTGATCGCTGAACCGTTTGGCTTCGTACAGATTTTAGAATCGTGTGTCATTGTGTCTGAATTTATGGGATAGGGAGTTATCATCATTTACACTATTTAAATTCGGGTTATTGTCCTCATGAGAGGGTGGGGAGCGATTCTCCGAATATAAATAGTGTAAATAATGATAACGCCCCATCTCATAAATTCAGACAGAAAATATCGAATTGCTGCGGACCCGATTTGATACATTAATGGAAGCAGTCGGGAAAAAAAAAACATCAAAAATTGGCTCGGATACCCATGCAGATCTCTATCTTCAGATTTCTACATCTATAAAGATCTAAAGCTAGTTTCTACATCTATAAAGATCTAAAGCTATTTTCTACATCTATAAAGATCTAAAGCTAGTTTCTACATCTATAAAGATCTAAAGCTAGTTTCTACATCTATAGAGATCTAAAGCTAGTTTCTACATCTATAGAGATCTAAAGCTAGTTTCATCGGGCTTATCTATCAAGCCATCGTTTACATCAAGAAGAGAATAAAAAGTAGTTGAAAGAGCAGGACACAACCTCCGGATGGAGAGGATTTTCCACAACCGCTTGCGGAAACATCAGCTGAAACTTAAAATATCCGATTCGACCCGGGGTTATTAGTTTAAAAAAGATTAGGACAATAATTTGAATATGAATAATCTTTGTTTAAATTTAATTTTAAATGTGGATTATTCCCTTCAACTAGTGAATTAAGGCGTGTTAGCTCGAGAATTGGGTATCGATTGGCAGGTGAAGTAATGAATAATGGCTCGATATGTGAAACCTGAGAGCAGAGTTCGAAATCCAGTCGGCTTCGGTACATTCACTTAAGCGCAAATAATCTTGGTAAATGTACGAATGCATCAGCCCCCACTAGCTATGGGTTAAATAGTAGAACTTGTATCTGGGAAAATCAATGTTATTTTCGGAAAAATGTTAATGCATTATTCCCTTGCAAAAAAAAAAGAAAATAATTATTTTACAACCCCAAAATATGTTTCGGTTTAAATGACCCACTAAGTAAAGAAAATAAATAAATAAATCGAGAATTTGGTGACTTAGTAATTTCGATTATAACTGCAGTGTGAGTCTGTGAGTACTTCACTAAAACTGAACTTTACTAAGAACCAGACGAGATGAACCGAGAAACAATCAGTAAAACATAAACGAACTACATTCCCGTAGATTAAATAAAGTGTTAAGTTCGAACATTTCTGAAGGATAGCACAACGGTCGAAACGTGATGATAATAATGGTGACAATAGTCAGCATGTAAATAAGTTTAAGTTTAACATTTCTATAAAAAAAATCACTACCACTTGAAAGGGTGATAAATCAAGTAGACATTGCAAAGAAAACGTACTTGGCAGTTTAGATGATAAAATACGTTTTTTTCTGGGTTCTTTTTTTCTCAGAAGTTTTTAGAAATATCCGTGACATCTTTTGATTGTTCCTTCACGCATGGTGAGATTTTCAGACGAACTATTCAGTTAAGTATCCATATCTTTATCGATCTAATTAGACAATATCAGCCAATATATTCTTTTATTTAAGTGCATGCTGCACGTAACAAGTTTCCTAATCTGTTAAGTCTTCTCATATCAATCTGCTTCTATGTGCCGTGTCTCTTCAAGACGTGGACAGTCATGGCTCTCCACAATTTCCTGACATTTTTAACTCTTCGTAAATTTTGTCTTTTCGGTATCTAATCCCTGTTTTCTGTCTATATTTTTGAGATGAATATTATGTACACTATTTAAATTATTCGAATTATTGTCCTCATCTTTGTCGCCATATTTATTAAAAACGTTTCGGTTGTTGTATGCTCCGGCCTTCTTCAAGTGGTCCTCAAGGACACATGGCACAGTGGATAACGGCGATGGTTAGATCCAGTGACAGGACCCAAAGAGTGTGAGTTCAATACCCGGTTAAGGCAGTGGAGAACTTGGAGAGGGGAATTAACAGAATATAGCTGAAAACTGGCATCCATTAGACATGGCACGTGGAACTAGAACTGTCTACCAGTGAGCGAAATAAAGGGTTCAGTTCGACATTCCAACCGCCTGAAGAAGGCTGGAGCGTACAACGACTGAAATTTTGTTATATGGTGACAAAGATGAGGACAATAGTCAACCATTTACACAACTTCGTACTTCTATCTTCGGTGTCACTTCAGGACGTGGATGATCATGTTTTAAAGTTAGAAAATATTTCAATAGTGGACGAATTCTTTGTAGTTAATAATAATTTTTACTTATGCAAGTTCTACTAATTAGCTAATAACTGAGAAGAGATGTATTCATATCTTACCCAAGGATATTTGCGTGTAAGTGACTATAATGAACCCGACTGGAATTAGAACTCCGTTTTCCGATTAACAATTCCGAGACGTTATCCATTTCATCACGCGCACATCCAAGTTTAAAATACCTCGTATTCCCAAACGTCCACCCATCTAGGTACTAGCCAGGCTCAACGTTCCTTAACTTCGTTGTTCGCAAGAGAATCTGTGTTTTGATGTGATATGACTGTAAGCCTTCAAACGCTTAACGTTTCATCATCACAGAGCAGACCCTAATTGTCTTACAGTCCTGAGGAATAGTTGTCATCTTAATGAAACTTCTTTCTTTGGAACATCTATTGAGACTCGTAAATGCGATGCATTGCTCAAAGATGCTGGAAAAATGGCCGGTTCATTGTATCGCTCTAGAAAGTTCCTAACTCACTCTATATGCTATCCATTTAAAAGAGGTGGATCAAAACAAAAACAGCATTGCTGCCATACTTGAACAGGATCTTCCTAGTCCTTACTTTATATACTTGACAGTGATCAGAAGCGTTTAGGCGGCCTTATCGGCGATAAATTATTTTCCATTCTACAGTCCCTTTGTCCACAGAGGAAACGTTGCTGTTTCCATATCAGATATTCAGAAGAACTTAGATCCACCACTGAAGACCTTTACAGATAGAAGCCACCATAGCGCCTACACAGAGTGGACTTTTCTTCATTTCATTTGTATTCGCTTAGTAAAGAAGAATTTCCATTCAGATTTTTCTCTAGAACCAATATGTTTGGGAATAGACCATCGAAAAAATGCTTACACGATCACTAAAATCTTAACATCTTCAAGTCTAGAGTCAACCTACAAAGCTTTATAATATGCTTTTATTTCCTCCTTCTGCGCATTAACAATCGCCTCATTTAGTAGCACTCTATATTAAGTGTCTCTTATGCCTTGTAATAGGGGAACAATAGTATAAAACGTTAGGAAGATGGTTTCTTTCAAATGAAGATTGCACGAAATAAGGAAAAAGAAGATCAGTTTCGTTTATTTTGTTTGGCATATCAACACCTCAATGGGTTACTTTTATGCTAATAATATTTTTATTGCTGGTAATATTTTTTTCAAAAACATATTGCTGGTATTATTTTTTTCAAAAATGTATTTACGATATAAAAATCTATTTTTACACTTTCAGAGTGTTTTGACCCCATTTTGGGGGTTAACTATTTGCCTATATAAGAAGGCACGTTGGAGTAATGGATAGCGGCTTGGATTGAGGAATCGGAGAGCCGAGTTCGAATTCCAGTCGAATCCATTACATTCACTTACGTGCTAACACCCTTGGGAAAGGTGTGAATCCTCTTTCTTCTCCCTCCAGCTATAGGTAAATAGCAGGCCAGACTGGGTTCTATATCCTTGGATGGCAACTGGTCTAGGAGAAATAAAACTCTGAATTCAAACCTGCTCTTAGAGGAGGGTGAATGGAGTCTCTCTGAGCCTTGGTTGGCAATGCATTTAGTGTTAGTGTCACGATAAAAACACCCTTGATAGCCCTAGCGAAGCATCAAGAATTCAGCTATTTGACAAGATTATGAACTACACCAATCAAAGTTGGTGAGTTCAATCTCGGCTGAGGACGCAAGATGATGTTGATTTGCCTATAGATGGGACCCTAACAGGTGCTACCACTCTGGGTCAGGGTGGACCTGATGAACATCAGCAATTAAGAGGTGGTTCCATGCTTCTCAAAACATCCGGATATCGTCTTCCCAGGTCATCGCATTTGGGGTGGGGGAGGTTTACCCCTCTGCAGAGGTGCAGTCTACGTCTTCTGAAGCCCCGGCCGACAGGGCGAGGACAAAGAACACGTGATAATAGCCTAGCAAGTATAGAGGATATGTCTGATAAGAAAATCAATATTCAAAATGCTGTCTTTTCATTAAAGCTCAAGCACTGATCTCTGACACTAACGAGAAGTAAGTATTACAAAGATGCAGACCCCGTCCACCGACCCCATTCGCAATTTCATTCTACTTTTCTTCCCTTCCCATTTTAGTTTTCTTCAACTTATAACATGGACATCGGCACTTTTCACTTTCTTTCTCCAATTTAATTTGCCCGCTGGGAAAATCTTTATTTTTGTTTTCTTTGTTTCCTTGTAGAACAGAATATCAATCTCAATTTGCCAAGATTTACTACAAAGTTGACGTGATTTCAGGCTCTACTTGAAAAGTGCACCGAAATTCCTTCGCCAGACAAAACACGTCGCCAATGAATGTCGAATAAGTTTGAATTAAAGAAGATTAAATTATAGTAGCTTTTTTTATTTAATAGCTTGGCAATACGTATCATTCACGAATATGTAGTATCTCTTCGACTCATCTGTATATATATATATATATATATATATATATATATATATATATATATATATATATATATACATGCGTCTGTATAGGTGTGCTTGTGGGCATATTTGAATGTGTGACAATATATATATATATATATATATATATAATTTTCAGAATATGTTTCTCTGTTCGCTTAAGTGTATATATATGAACTCAGGTAGGTGCTGTAATCTTTTCCAACCGATCTTACAATTCTTTCAGATAGAATTCCAAGGTTTGGAAATTTGGTGATAGTAAGGTACGAGAAATTTTCTAAGGCATTATATATATATATATATATATATATATATATATATATATATAAATTAAAAATTAAAAGTGAAAATATTTCAGATCGTAGTTAAATAAAACGTATTCTAATCTAAACCCTCCAAAAATCTTTAAATATACAAATAGAAAAAAAATGCCGTAAGAATTTTTACCGTTAACAATAAAAATTTAAAAAAAAATCCAGATGACATGCATTTAACGGACTTTAGATTTCATTACCCCCTACCAAAACGTAACTAATAACTGATACATCAAAATACAGCGATAATGAACACGCAGACACCCCCTGTCTCTAGTGGAAGTGGATTTATCTGTAACCTTAGAAACGTGAATTATGATTTTAGCCGTGTCTTTAAAACCCAGTAATTTTAAAAATTACTCCAAAATTCGCTTGAGGATGAAATGGAACTAATGTCTTTAATTTAATTACAAAATTAAATTCGTAGCTTTTTGCTTCCATTTTTTGAAACGTGGTTAGAACTGTGTAGCGAAAAAAAACATTTTAAATCCATTAATTTATAATATATATATATATATATATATATATATATATATATATAAGACATTTTTATGTTTATACATTCTTTTTATAGATACAAATATTTAAGTAAATGCTCTGTTTTATAATAAACAGCGTTAGTAAAATTTACCGGCTTGAATATCCGAGAAATTTTCAGAGAAAACATTCGTTCTCCGACAGGAATCGAACGAACCTGTATCCTATACTGAACCGTCACTTAGCCTGACGTGTCTTGACCGATCGAGCCACAGAGAAGCGTTCGGTTAGTAAGCTCGATTTTACTGTTTTTAAACTTTAATCTTCCATGAATCTCTCACGTACATTCATATCTGCTCAAATCCTATCCAAATGTAAACAAATGACGTCACACATTATGAAATGACAAAGTCCGACAATTATTTTAAGATATTTTTATGTTTATACATTCTTTTTATAGATACAAATATTTAAGTAAATGCTGTTTTATAATAAACAGTATTAAACAACATTTACCGGTCTGAATAAGAAAATTTCTCGGGTATTCAGGCCGGTAAATGTTGTTAATACTGTGTATTACTGTGATATATATATATATATATATATATGGAGAGAGAGAGAGACAGACAGACAGACAGACAGACAGACAGAAAGACAAAAAGATATATAGATAGATCATAATATCAAATCCGTATGAGCTAATTATAATCAAAATAGTCTGATGAGGCAGTTGTTTGTCTGAAATAAATTATTACAAATAAATGTATTAAATTTACTTTATTATTTAAAAATCATTATTAAAATATCAAATATAAATATGTATGTTTCATTTTTCAGCTTTTTTTAGCATTATTTAAAGAAAATCTTTGACAATATCGGCAAAGAATAGCTATTTCATTTTTTATTAAGTAAATTTTTTTTTTTTATAAACCTAATATTGTATAATTTCTCATGTATGCACAAAGGACATGGGTCATTTAATGACCTACATATTCTAGCTTTTCTTATTAATTTCCATTTCACAGTAGGTTTCTTTTAAGTGCTAGAATACTTAGATAGGGACGTCTGCTTTCGATATTTATTTATTCTAAAAGAACATTGGTGTTGGTTGAAACGTTTTTTGAATTCATGTCTTCTGCATCCAATGTAGACTTTTACCTTGTTTGAATCCTTAATAGATCAGATATTGCATTGGTACACTAATGATTCAGTGCGACATTTATTATTAAGAGGACAGTTTTGAGGGTTTCTACATTTACATAATTTTTGTTTATCCTCATTTCTTTTTATTATACTGTCTAAATTTCTTTGATTTTTGTCAAAGTGTTTACACAAGATATTAGCATTATGTTTCTTAATAATCATTTCTAAGTTTTCAGTACAACTGTAACTTAATTTTAGGGTATTTTTATTAAAAATTGTACTGAGGTTACCGTCTTTAGGAAAATGTTTAACGATTAAAGCAAGTAATTTTTGTTCTAAATTGTTTTTTACCATTTGGTTGTATGGGGGTGTATACCAAATAATTTTTCTACTTCTGTTTTTCCTATGGTTTCTGCTTTCACGTTTTATATAATTTAGTTTTGTGGTTTTGTAGCCACTATCCTTTAGAGTTTTATTAGAGAAATTACTATGTTCATAGAAAATTTTCTCATTTGCTGAATTTGTAATTATTCTCTTTTCGATAGATAAAAGTATATGCTTAATTATAGATGGAGGATGGTTTGATTTAGGGTGCATATATAAAGGATTAGTATTGATTTTTAATAAGGTATGTATATATTTTTCATTACATCTATTGTTATATCAAGGAAGTTCACCTATTTCAATTTAGTACTTACAGGCAATTCTCTGTATAATAGATTTCTAACTTTATCATTTTTAAAGTTTGTAGAATTCATTATAACCATAAATCCATCGTCTCTGCACAATCCAATGTCAGTTATATTAATTTCGAAATATGCTGTGAGATTGTATAATATAAAAACACCTACAAGGTCAGAAGTCTCTGCAGAGTTTAATGATCCCATTATGATGTTTTTTTTTATCCATTGCTCACCATTATGTATTAGTACCGATTTTTTTCGCATTTATAATAATGCTCTTCCCTGCAGATTTGTATTGAGCACTTTTTATATATATATATATATATATATATATATATATATATATATATATATATATTTGGATTGATGTGAGTTTGTGACCTTGGGTTTCACGCTTTTGCGATCGTTAGATAAACTGATTAATTTTTTTAAATTTTGAGTTTATGTAGATTGCGTGCATTGGTGTTATTATGGAAGGGGTGGGTGAATCGTTGTCGTGATGTCACTCTTGCTAACGCAAACATAGATGCATGTCCGTACTCCCGATGAGGTACGCAGACACACATACACACACGCTCGTCTACCGGGGCTCATACAGACATAAACATATGTGGACAGTATGGGATTTGACATATGTATGTATATGTGTGCTGTTGTCTATATACATACGCATTTGTATGCTGAAATTCAAAGATCGGAAGTGTAGCGAAAATTTCTCGTGAATGTACGCATGTTAGCAATCAGAGCAATTTTCTATTTTTTCGCTGAATAATATTTCCTCGCATGTATGTATAAACATGTGGTGGGGATCTGTGCAAAATTATTATAGGTAAAAATTGCTATTATTTTTACTTTTTTAAAGTTTATTTGTTATTATTTTAAAGCTGGTTATTTGCTTGTTTTTGATTAGTAATGGTGATGGGAGAATGATAAATATGTTAGCTCTATCTCTGATATTGAGCGCTTTCTAATAAGTGCCGCGCATATAATATATAAATAATTATATATATATATATATATATATATATATACACTTTTCACACACACACACACACACACACATATATATATATATATATATATATATATATATATATATATATATATATATCAAGCCCACATGTTTTGTGGGGATTCAATTTACAGACAGTAGGAGAAACTGTGCTGAATTCTACGGATATCACATAGAAGAGTTTTTCTTATAAATGAAAAATTAGTCATAGATACTCCCGATGTGTCAAGCGTAGAATTTGAAGAAAATTTACGATTAAAACATTCTGTTGTATCAACAGAAAACGATAAAACCTCAAATTGTAATGAGAGAAGGGATAGAAGGATAAGTTACTCTTATCTATCACATTATTACAGAGCCGCCAATTGTGAGGGAAACCAATATGGTGAACAAATAAAGCCTCGTTGGCGACACGTTTACAATTATTGCGAACAGACACAAAGAGCTTCTGCTTTGGTCATGACTATCACTTTGTTACTGCTGTAAAAATGTTATTCCTGTGAGCAATAGCGGATGAAAAAGCAGATATGAAAGGAAGTGATTTTAACACCTATTTCCGGAGAAGTCTTAGAAGCACCGATGGTAGCTTTTACTGAAGAAAAACCCAGTGGCATAATTCTCAATAGGATGGTTACAATACAACCCATCGAAAGAAAAGCACAAAATGAATCCCAAACGCTATGGTGGCAATAAAAAGAAGTCTTGTGAATAGGAGGTTCATGTTTAATAGACATCTCAAAAGAAATATTACCAGATACTACAATGTTATCCAAAATGTCGATTCTAAACAAGAGGTAAAGAGAAAGTTAAAGAAAAATAGCAAGTAAAGAAACGGGTTGGTCGGAATTATTAGGAAAATGATTAGGGAAACCCACTGTTTGACTGAGAGATTGAATAAAAGAATATTGAAGGTCTGAATACCGTCGACATCATTTATATTAAAATACTTAAGTCAATTGACGTGATGCCAATTAAACTCAACGATTGCAAAGTTGTTCGCATATAGTGGCAAATAGTTTGTCTAATAGGATACAACCGTGAGAAAATGGAGTGGATAATAAAGGAAAGAGATTGGTAACAAAGTGCAATAAAAAAAGTCGAAAGCACATGAAAAGCTCATCCAGATGCTCAAGAGGCGATTTCTTTGTTATTTACAGATTTTCATGTTTGTAAACCTCAAGGCCATACACATTTATCCTAGACTCTTAAAAAAAGGATAACCTGGACCATATGATTTATTATTAACGATATAAAAGTTTAAAGTAGTTTTGCAAAGCCCTAAAATATCTGGAGAATATTTCAATAGAAAAGATTCTCCACTACACAAATTGATGTGAATACCATGCATATTGGAGAGATAATGGTTAAGTGGGGGAATGTGACTTCAACAATTAGGAAGAGATGGCCCTACATAGTACTCGTTGGAGAGGTCAAATAAGAGACGGGTGTTAACTCTTCGAAGTGTCGCCTGGAACACAAACGGCTGAAACGGCGACTTCGAATGTGTGATAGCCATGGTCACGACGAAGGTATCCGGGGTTGGACATGTGATTTCTGCCAGCGCATACTTCTTTCAAAGGCTGGCTGGTTTGGTTTGTTTGGTTTGTTGTGTATCACGGCATATCAACCTCAATGGGTCATTTAATGGCGACAACATTTTTAGAATAGATTCGTATGAATAGAGTATGTATTCTTTGGTTTAGATTGATTTGGTTTATTTCGTTTTACGGCACATTAATCTCAATAGGTCATTTAATGCCGACAACATTTTCTCGGGTAATATTTTGTTTTGTTACAAATCTATTTCTGTTCATATTTTTTTCTCAAAAATGTATAGCTGGTAATATTATTTCAAAACATGTATTGCTGGTAATAGGTGAAACCTAGGTAGGTCTGCCTGGCTCTTTAGGTTCATATTTAGGATTGGTCTACTTAGTGTATTGAGCACTTTACGTAGTTACTTTTGCTTTACTCGTTTTGGAGTTTTTTTTTCCTTTGGATTCTGAGCTTGGATTCTGGACGATTGTCTTCGCTTCAATTTCATGTTTTTAGTTCTTTCTTTTTTTATTCCTTATTTTTCCTTGGGTATTGGTTTGTTCATTTACAAGCCAAAATACTTAAGGTTTTTACAAGCGAGTTTATATTATATATATATATATATATATATATATATATATAGTAATTTCAAGGACTAAAACTACTATTGTAATTCGGATATTCTATACCGTAAATGAACATTTTAGGCGTCGTAAAAACCTGTGCAGTATAAAGACTTAATATATTTATGTCTATATTTACGTTTGTAGTTTATTACTTATGTAGGTTTCACGTACCAAACCAATACGACCCCTCCGACACACACACACACACACACACACACACACACACACACATACACGAACTCACATAGCCACACACACACATTGACAGACATCGCATAAGCAACCAAATGTTTAGCCACACTGATGAGGGGTGTCTTATTACTAACATTATTTTATTTTGTTTAGTTTCTTGTAAATAGATTTGTACAATTTCTAAATGTTCATTGGGGTTTAGATTTTTAAATTGTTATTTTATTTTCCTCCCACCAGTACCACCACAGACAATGTATTTTACATAAGGGGACTAGTTAGTACTTTCATAGAGACAATGAGGTATTATGGTGGATGTAGTAAGAAAGATAAGTAAGAATGCATTGATTTGGTATAAAGAATATTGTATGCTTGGGTCAGTGTTTGTGGCTAGCTAAGTTTAAACTTAAACAGAAGACCGTCTTTTTTCCCATCCCCCTTTTTGGCCTTGTGCCACACTTTGTATTTTATTACAAAAAATATGATCACCATTTCTATTCTATCCTCTATTACTATACGGATCCACCTTTCTACACTATTCTCTAACTCTATAGTATTCACTGTTCTTCTATACTGATCACTATTCTGCGACTACTTTTTGAGCGAGTATTAGCGAGCAAGTATTATGAGTGCGAGTTTTATTCGAAAGCGTCTGACACCAGAAACGAGGCAGATTAATGTAGACATTTCAAAGTATTGGTTCCAGACAGCAACCTCCAGAAGACAATCCTACAGTAATTCGTATATTTCTTCTGTCCTTCTGTACACCCGACGACTGAAACAGTCAAGAGAATAATGATGAGGAAATTGAAATATTTATCTATTAATGGAGGACAAGTGCATAGACACGAAGGAGATTATATTAAAAATTTATATAAAATAAATGGTTTTGATAATAGCTCACATACATACACGAACCTTATCACTAAGTTCGCAAGACAAGCTTAACAATGAAATGATGAAATGTATATACACCCTTGTGCAAATTAGTTAAAACACACCTTTTAGTTTCCTTTCTTTCACGATACGGTCAATTTTAGAACCACTGGGGTGACAGTGTATAATTGATTTCTATTTTTCCCCCAGATTAGATCATTTGCAGTGGTGTGCAGTAATATGAATTTATTTTCAGTTGAAAAATATTGCGTCATCCGTGGTGGCATCAGATTTTCATCACGTCCAAACACTATTTTCTTGACTTTCGATTAGTTGTCCTACGGCCATTGTCTGCAATGGACGTTACTCCAATGAAGCGTACGAAAATTTGTCACGCTGCACGAAGACAGACAAGGCTTACCAGTGAGCAAATCAACGCACTAAACACTGGCACGGAAACTCTCCTGATTTAAATCCAATCGAGAATCTGTGGTCAATCTGCAAGGAACAATTTCGTGGAATGGACATACGAAGTACTAACATTCGCACTGAGTCATGTTTCATTATACGAAAAAAAGTAAATAATAACATAATTATTCATTTTGTTTCAATTAATTGAGTATATATATATATATATATATATATATATATATATATATATATATATGTTGACGAGAGATGATTTTGTTGTTTGTTCTTCACGTGAGAGTTCGAATCTTCGTCGCCACTGTTATGGTCCGGTTCTTTGTACCACGGTGATAGTCCAAGGTAGAACCAATAAAGAATAACTCGAACACGGATATGGAACAACACACATATATTACAAACAGGAATATATACAGAGAAGGAGAAAGTGTTAGTACGAACAATCAGGTTTAGTTGTAATTGTCTGAACGCGACTCTGTTTCGGTCTGCCTCTGACTCGACTGACAGACTTCTGACGAACCTCACTCCAGAATTCAGACTGAACTCTAGATTTCAGACGGAACTCCCTGATTCCTCTTAAGGCACAGTATTTATTACGTATGGAATAGTCCATTATGTTATCATGGGTAAGGTCCCATAACAATATATATGTATGAAAGATTTCTCAGAGTTTCTACAGGTTTATAAATGTAAACTATTAATAATAGTAATAGTTCCCGAAGCGTTTCATCCGAGGTGTACTTTCTCAATACAAAACGAAATGAATTTATTAAACAAAGTAATTAATAATAACACAAAAAATGTCCTTAGCAACTGGAAGAATTTAGAGAATGCTATTTTTATTACTGTTGACTGAAATTACGTCATTTTCTGTCATGTGTGTGTATATTGTTTTTATTGCTGTATTGACGGATTCAACCATTTTCTTTTGATTTCTTGATACTGTTCTGTACGTTTCTTTGGGAGAGTAGTAATTCTGTTAAGAAAGGTGAAACAGGGAAAAAGCCTGGGCGTAGATTAATATTTGGGTACTATTCAATGGCAGCACTTTCGAGGATTTTTGTTCTGGGTGAGTTATTTTATTTTATTATGAGTGTAGCATTTTTAAAATCAAAAGTGTGGTTGAATTTATTTCTGTGTATGACTAGTGCATTAGCTAAGTTGTTTTTTTTTTCTACTTGACAATTTATTTTATAAATGCCTGCTTCAGAAATATTATTGCTAATAGTGTTTGAGAATATGAGTATATCCATAATGGTTTTGGAAGTGTTTGTGACTATTTATGTATGTATGTATATATATCTGTGTGTCAGTGTGTGTATGTCTGTGTTAGTATGTGTGTATTCGTAAGTAGGAATGTATACAAAGGGCTGCAAATGTGGGTATACAGTTAAGTATTATAACATTGTAGTGGTTCGAGGAATCATTTAATACTGAAATTCATTTAATTCATTAAAACATTCAAGAAAGGTAGAATTACAGAAACACCCTTAATAGATTTAGATTTTGTCACAAAGATTAGGAAACTGGAACATGATGAAGCTTATAAGTACCTAGGAATTAGCGAAGGAGATGGCATACAACACACCCAAATGAAGGAAAAAAATAAGAAAGGAGTACTACAGGCGAGTACGTCTGGTACTAAATACTGAGCTGAACTCAAAAAACAGAATATCAGCCATAAACACATTGGCTGTCCCTGTGGTGCAATACAGCTTTAATGTCCTTAACTGGACCATAGCTGAAATTAAGCGAATGGACGCCAAAAAGAGAAAGCTACTCACTTGCTTCCGCATGCATCATCCCAAAGCTGATGTTGATCGTCTGTATGTGCCCAGATCCAAAGGAGGTGGAGGAATAGTTCAACTAGAACTGTCCTACAAAACTACAACAATTGGCCTCCAAAGATACTACAGAAGACTGGATGATGGTATGCGTCAAGGAACATGAAAGTAGTAAGCGTCTTTACTCCGTAATAAAAGAAGCCAACAAATTCAAAGTAGAGTTTCAAATGGGCGTAGAAATGCAAGTACATCGGCTGAAGCTGCAAAATACTTAAAAAAGACAACAAAGACAAATGCAACCGACCAGATACAGAAACAATGGCAAGATAAACCGCTTCATGGCCAATACTCTGCCCGTACCAAACAAGCTGGCGTAGACAAAACCCGTACCCATCAGTTGCTACGTAGTGCAGGGTTGAAAGCTGAAACTGAAGGTTTTATCCTTGCTGCATAGGACCAATGCTTGTTAACTAGAAATTATCAAGCACATATACTAAAATATTGTTAGTCCAAAATGCAGATTCTGTGATAAATATCCAGAAGCGATTGATCATCTTGTATCAGGTTTCACGATATTGGAACCCACTGAATATAAAACCCGGCATGACAGAGTGGGCCAATATCTGCACTGGAAAATTTGCAACTTCTACGGGAAGGAAACTGAAAGAAAATGGTATGAACACCACCCATACCCGGTTAAGGAGATAGGGCCTGTTACAATTCTATGGGACTACACAATACATACTGACAGAACAATCAAGGACAACCTCCCAGATATTGTTATTAAAGACCACAAACAAAAAAGGTGCCTCCTTATTGATATGGCAGTCCCTGCTGACTGCAACGTTCAAAAAGCTGTCAAAATACAAGGACCTTGAAATATAAATCTCAAAAATGTGGCACATGAGAACATCAACAATCCCTGTTGTAATTGGAGCCCTAGGATTGGCAGGAAAATATTCCAGTAGACTAATTGAAGGGATTCCTGGAAGTCCATGCCTCAAAGAGATACAAAAAATTGTTCTCACAAGTATAGTCCACACTTTACAAAGGGCTTTATCTATGTAATATTCTTTCTTTTTTTTTTTTGTT